CACCTGTGTATATACATATATATACATATATATGTCAATCGTGAATTTCGGGGACACTTTTTGATAAGGATTGGTTCTTTTGGGGACTTTTGGATCCATTGAGGACCGTCCCGAAAGTTCTGCATAAAAATCGTTTACTTCAGGGACGTCCCCAAAGTTATTATTCTATAAAATTTGTACTTTTCGAGGACACATTTTTTCTAGGTATATTGGGGACCGTCTCCAAAGTTCCGTAAGACATACCGGCTATTTTGGGGACAATAAATTATAACTATCAATTTTTATTGAATTTGTTGAAGTTTTGCGCGATATATGTACTACATATAAATTGACATGATGGATTACCTATCTTAGTAGAAATTGATTTTTTAATCTTTATTATTCTTTGCACAGTAAGAAATGATTTTCATTTTTACATATAGTATTCCTTCATCATAAGGCAAAAATATGTATAATATCAAAAGGTGTAGTTATAAATAATAGATATTATATCCCAGAGATCTGATGGGACGGCTCGATATTCCCTGTTGCTTGTGCCTATTGCTTGTGTCTATTGATATCAATTTATTATCATATTTTATCAATAATTTTGTTGACGATATACACAAAAATACCGCCTGAATCAAATATCATAAAATCAAATATCATAAAAAATATAGCTTTTATATCGATTAAGTTACATTGGCTTAATTAAATGCATATACACGCGTAGTTATTAATGCTTTTACATCCCAAGTTACACGCGGAAAAGGAATGAGAAGAAAGTATGAAAAGGCGTATTAAGGCATTAACGACTACATGCGTATATTGTATGTACAGTACATATAAATCATTAGAAACTATTCTTTAAGATGACAGCCAAGATGAAAAACTAAGATATAAATTCTTACTTGTTTGCGTATGAGTTTGTCTACCGTGTCTTCCGCCGGATCTTCCGCGAGGTCTTCCGCGAGGTCTTCCGCGTAATCTTCCGCGTGATCTTCCGCGTGATCTTCCGCGTGATCTTCCGCGAACACGTGAAGATGACTCGTTCGTTGTAGTATCGTCCAATAGGGCTTCCGATCCCAAATTATCGATGCCTGTTTCCGACATTACTAGTTATATGTAGAAAATAAATTACGACTTGTCTTTCCAAATTTTTGTCCGAATCTTAATCTCTTATTCATAAAAAAAAATAGCGTATTACAAATCTGACGCAAGATGATATTTTCGTAATACACGTTAATTATTTTTGTAATTACAAAATTAAGATTCAAATAGGACATTTTTGTTCAAATCCTTTTTTAAAAAGAAATATTGTCTTGAAATCGAGTCAGGAACATATCTTTGGAATGGATAAATGAGTAGCTTGTTTTAAGTTATTTTCTATCTATTAATAGTCTTATTATAGATTTTGTATTGATATATTACGAGATGTTCCAAAATTTACTGCCAGTACTGAAAATATATAATGCACGTAACGTAAACAATAGATTTTCAGTACTAGCAGTAAATTTTAGAACTGTTAACATAAATTTTACGGTCAATAACAGAGATATATTAACGATAAATGATAAAAACATGTATTTTACCTTGTACGACTTCCTGACGATTTAGTCTTAATCTCGTAGATCTACCGTGCCAACTGCGAGGCATCCCACGACCTCGTCTATTTTCACTTATAGGTGCTGCATTAAGTGTGCGGATATTGCCAGGTGCAACTGTTACAATAATATAAATATAGAATATACCCTAGTGAATCAATTCTGAAATATTATATTTTCTATATTTTGTAATTTCTGAATTTTAGAAAAAAAAGCTCTAAACTTTTTTCTCAGATTTTATAACATTTCATCAGATAATTTGAAACGAGAAACTTTACAATAAAAATTCAAGAATATTTTGGAGTTTACGTACAAAAAATTATAAAAAAGATGTAGACGGCACTTCTGAAAAGTGTTCCAATTTCTAAAGAAAAAAAAGCTCTGATACAGTTTTAAAAAATTATTTAAAAACATTGAAAATTTATTAAACTTATATAAACTTTCAAAAAATTTATATGGAAAATTCTAACAAAAATTTTCACCGGAAGAAACATTAAAAGTCACATTTTAATTTTATTGGTTTCTGTATTAAAATATTTTGTAGAACTTTTATATAAATTTGTAGAATTTAAGTAGATATTAAACGAAATTACGATAGAAATAGGACAAAATTTTTTTATGAATTATAAGAATGTTTTATAGATTATAAAGAAAATTGATATTTATGCAAAAAATTAATATAGTTCTATAAAGGAAAAGAGAATAAAAATGATTTTTCAGGTTATCAGTCAAGATGAAAAACTAAGATGTATTACTTCTTACTTCTCTGCGTATTATAACCGCGTCTCCCGCGGGATCTTCGATAAGTACGTAAAGATGACTCGGTCGTCCTAGCATCGTTAAACAGGACTTCTGGCTCCAAATCAGCAGCAACTATCGACACCATCAGAGAGTAAGAGAGAGTATGTAAAAAATAAGTAAAAAATAAAAAATATATAATATACGTAGGTTGAATTAGAATAATCACTTGTCTCCTTCGAAAGACATATATCTGTTTGTATTCCAAGACTTTCTCTTCACCAAAATTTCCGAAGCTCTTAATGTCTTAGTTATAAAGAAATAGCTTACTACAGATCAGCTGAAAGAAGATACATTTGTACAGCATGCAAGTTTTTCTAACTTAAAAATTAAGAACACCGTCGTTCGTTCAAATTATTTTTTATAAAATGTCTTAAAATCGAATCAGACATATCTTTTGAAGAATAAACTCTAACTTACCTTTTAAATTACTGAGAGACGAAAAGATTTAAAAAAAAACGTTACACACAATTGTATGTGATTATTTTTCAATATTATAAACTGTTAAACATTTAAAAACTATAAATTAAAAATTTTACAAAAAATTATACAGGAGCAATTTACCTGTAGAAGAAAAGTGATCTTGATTACGAGGTCCTTCAAAAGTCTGTCGTGATGATCCATGCATATCTGATGCTTCAATTTCGGTTGTAACCGTCGGATTCATTATGTCTGATTCAATAACGTCGTGTGACATAGACGTAGATTCCTGCACTATATAATGAATAGAAAGATTTGATCAATAAATAGAAAATGAAAAAATATGAAATTACGGAAGGATATAGTATAATCTTTAAAACGATCTCGCAAACTATATTTCACGAAAACATAAGGTTACTGAAATAATGGAAATGCAGTGTGCAAAAAATTGCTTTTCTGCGAAATATTTTTTCTCGGAAGAAAAGTAAATTTTATATCAAAATTCCAATCAAAAGATATGAATGATTTTGTTTATCCATAAAATGTTTTTTTCTTTACTTTCCTATCTTACTTTTAAAGCATGTTATGAAAGATTTAAGTAGTTTTTTTTTAAGATAACAAATTTTTTTCGTCTATGACGATAAAGTCATGTATACTTATAACTTCTAGTTTGTAATTATTGATAAACGGTGTAACTTA